TCTATTTACAAAAAATTATTTAAAAATTATAATTTATTAATATTATCTATAAATTTTATAGATTTTGAAATACTTACAGTTATCAAAAATCTCTTTAAACAATTGTCAAAAATTATTTTTCATACATTTTAGGTTCACTTTTCACTGGCAGTTTGTAAACAACCGACAATCATATCAATTTTTAATTTTTATTTAAAAAAGTGAGAGGAATGACGGGTGAGAGGAATGACGATTTCAACATTTTTTAATTTTATTTAATTGACAAATAATTTTCCTCCAGCTTAGAATGCCCTATCATGTTTATAAAGGATAACTTTATGTGAAAAAAATTTGCGATCAATTTATATATATTAATATTGTTTTTATTAGGGGTGAGAGGAATGACGCTTTAGGTTGTGAATCTCTGCTTATGTCTCAATTTAAATTTTTTTAACGCAAAATAATGACATTTTTTAAAAAGTAACTTAAGAAATTAATATTAGAGATGTTAATTTAAATATTGATCACAATAATTAATCAATATCTCTACCCACAGCAAAAATATTTGATAATATTCAACGAGTGAGAGGAATGACGCGGTACTACATGACAAATTTCATTTTCTATATTTAAAAAAACTACACGACATATTTTATTTATATTTTTGAAAATTATTCTTAAATATCATAACTTTTAGAAAAAATTAATAAAGTACCAATTTTCATGTTTTAAATAATTGTTTTACCTATTGAAAAAATGAAAAGCACTTAGATGACAGGTTAGAAAATCGATTTTGAGGTGGTAAAATATTTTAAAAATGTATTAAGGGTAGCTCCATGCCTAAAAAATCAAAGTTGTCCCCTACTTCTTCGATTTTGTTGAAACTTCGAAATTTTGAAGTGGAATACATGCCAGTAAGAAACCCTAAATCGATTTCGAAAAATTTTGAAAAATTTTGGATTTACGAGGTTTTTAAAAATTTTTTTGAAATTTTGAAAATGGTATATCTCAAAGGAAAATGAATAAAATTTAATGAAATTTTCAGGGAATGCTTATTGTTTACAGACAATTTAAGAAAATATTTTATAAAAAATTTTTATTTTTTTTAAAACAAATTATTTAAAAAATAATTTTTAAATAAACAATTTTTTGAAAAGTGCCATTTTTTTGCTTTTAATAACAATGATTCGATTCCCACTTATTTCACGAGTGTTTTCCAAAAAAAAAATCGATGGAGGGTCTGAAACTTTAGGAGATATTGAATTTTTTGTCCTGGCGCGCAACCGTAAAAAGCGCATTTTCAGGCTATACTGTACATACAAACTAATGTTCAAAATCACCTAGGTATAAGTCGTAAATTTTAACCGAATTAAATTTTTCTTTTTGGAGAATGTCAGGCAATAAATTTGTAAGAATACTGTGCATTTTTTAAATTTATATTTGTTTAAACAAATTATTATTATTGTTGTTAATTACTAACTTTTTACATATTGTACCTAGAGAGGTGTATTTTTCCAATTTTGTAATTTACCGGACCTTACATAAATACAGATGCAGATTTAAAACATAATTATTAATGTTTAAGCAAGATTTAAACAAATTATTATTGTTTATTTCTAATTATTTACGGAATAGTATACTAGAAAGATGCAGTTTTTTCTAATCATGCAAATTTACCAAACTTTTTCAAATTCCGATTTACATTGAAAATAAAATTATAATTTAAACAAAAATAAGAATAAAAAAAAAAAATTAAAAAAAAAAAAATTAAAATAAAAATATTAAAATTATTAATAATAATAATTAATAATAAATAATTAATAATTAATAATAAATAATTAATAATAATAATTAAAAATTAATTAATAATTATTAATTATTAATATTATTAAATATTAAAATTTAAAAATTGTTTAAGTAATATTTGTACTTTTAATTTTAATCTGGGTATGTCCATGTCAAATAAATTAAAGTTGTCCCCTAGTTCTTTGATTTCTATGAAATCAGAAGTTTATTATTATTATTATAGCTCTGGAATAAAAGCTTAACAAACATAGTTTTTTAAAACAATTATTGTTATAATCATTTTTCGCAACAAAAATTTAATAAATTTTATGAAATATTTTTGACGAAGTAAATAATGATATTGCATACCTACTAACGATAGGATAAGTGTGTTAGTTGTGTTGCGGTTTATTGTTATAAAAATTTTTTATTATCAAAAAATTAATAAATTTTCTTAAATTTATATGACAAATTAAATAATAATATCATTATTTACTTCAGTTAAAACTCATCTGTTTAAAATAATTGTTTATAAGAATTGACTTGGTTAAAAAATTGTTTAAATAATTGTTAATAACAATTAAATTAAATATTAATTGTGTTATTTTGCTTTCAAAAAGTTAATTTTACTTAATTTTGTAAACTCAATAAAGTGTTTTTATTCTCAATGTCTCCGAAAGTATTTAAATTTAAAAGCTTTCAATATAGGCAATTTGTTATTTATTTAATATTTATAATCGTGATTAACAAATAATTATAAAATCGTTTTCACACTTTTCATTATCATGTGTTCTGTAACAATTTTTCGAAGTTTCATAGAAATCAAAGAACTAGGGGACAACTTTGTTTGGTAAATTTGCATGATTAGAAAAAACTGCATCTTTCTAGTATACTATTCCGTAAATAATTAGAAATAAACAATAATAATTTGTTTAAATCTTGCTTAAACATTAATAATTATGTTTTAAATCTGCATCTGTATTTATGTAAGGTCCGGTAAATTACAAAATTGGAAAAAATACACCTCTCTAGGTACAATATGTAAAAAGTTAGTAATTAACAACAATAATAATAATTTGTTTAAACAAATATAAATTTAAAAAATGCACAGTATTCTTACAAATTTATTGCCTGACATTCTCCAAAAAGAAAAATTTAATTCGGTTAAAATTTACGACTTATACCTAGGTGATTTTGAACATTAGTTTGTATGTACAGTATAGCCTGAAAATGCGCTTTTTATTTGTATGCAGTTGAGCAATGTTCAGTTTAACGGTGTGCAATTAAACAATAAATAAATTTTTAATTTAATTTTTTAAATTTAGTTTGTATGCAGTTTACCAATGTACACTTTAACTGTGTAGAGTTTTTTAATATTAATTATTTATAAATTTAATAGAAAATTAGACTTGTGTGCAGTTTACCTATGTGCAGTTTAACGGTATGCAGTTTAGATTTATACAGTTTTCAAATTAAATTTAATAATTTTATTATTAAAATTTGCTTGTATGCAGTTTTCCAGTATGCAGTTTATTGTGGGCAGTTTTCCTGTATACAGTTGAATTGAGGGCAATTGATACCGCCCTGGATCCAATAACTCGCCCGACGCTCGGAGGAACGCGCAACTGCCAGTCAGTGAGCAGTGAGCGCCTCTGGGCCACTCACTGCTACCCGACTGGCATTAACGCGTGGCTTCGAGCGTCGGGCGAGTTATTGGATCCAAGGCCTCAATTCAAAATAATATTTCTTATACATTGAAAAAAATAATATTAATATTGTGTTGCATTCATTTATTATTATTTATTATTAATTATATACATATATATAATATTATATTATAATATTATTATATATATTATATATTTATATTATTATATTATATATTATTATATTATTTATTATATTTATTTTTTATTATTATTTATTTATTATTTATTTATTTGCATTCATCAAAATAATTATAACCACAATACATACCTATTATGGTTCCATCTATTAACAACTTTATGAAATTCACTTTTCAAAATTACCGACATTTCCACTTTTTCACTAACGTTTCACGTCTATATAACTTATAACTCCAAGAGCTTTAGTATACAGTCTGAACCTTGTCAATGGTGGTAAATAGAAATTAGGGTAAAACGATATTAGGGCGATTTGACAGACTATCGGCCTTTTCACCCATCCCGATTCCTTAATAAGGCGGGCTTCTTCTAGGGAACGGACAAATTTCTCCTTATCGATTTTCTTCACATTCCATGAGGGGCACTTTCGACACGGAACTTCCTGTCTTTTGCCTCCTCCTGTGTCGATCTCTGAGACCGAAAACTCGATATACTGATGGTCACTCGCGGTATACTCCTCAGAGACTTGCCAGTCGCTTATGCGCTTGAATAAGGGAGTTGATGCTATCGTAAGATCAATGATGGATCCGATTGCACCCCTCCTGAACGTCCAAGTTCCTCCCCGGTTCACAGTAATTAAACTGTTCCTGGAGACCATTTCTCCGATCACTTTGCCTCTTTTATCGAACCTTGACTCGCCCCACTCCGGCGACTTAGCATTAAAATCGTCAGTGACAAGTACATCCAACCTGGATTCTCTAAGGCTCGATTCGAGTTCTTCCATGTCGGCTTCGAAGTCCGTCAGTGGATCATTAGGCGAAAAGTAGCAGCTATACATTCGTATGTCTCCCACTTCCATCAGTCGAGCTGTCTAGTTATTAGAGATTATTGCAGTGTCATCGACACGACAAACTTAGAACTATAATTTCTAGGAGTACTTTAAAGTAACATTAAAAAAACTAGACAGAAGGTCTGTCTAGCCAATATCAAATTCAATTTGAATCTTTGACGAAGAGCGTTGGTCAGTAACTTTACAGTTATTTACCAGTCCGCCTAGAATCAGCGTCCGTGACAAAAGCTGTCCAGTAACTTGAACAATCGAGTGGCTCCATGACAAATTTCTACTAGGGATTACAGCCATTCAACATTGAAGCTCAGGTGCATTCAGCGAGCATAAAAGCTCAGCTTTCAATATGATTCACATTACATTACTATGGTATTTCCCATTTTGGAACCGCTTTTCTGTATGGATTAAAAAAATCGTTTTGATTTAGGTAATTAAGAAGATAAGCGTGTCGGTGGTTCTATAGCGCAGATTATGTAAAAAGTACCTGTGTGCAGAGAAAAACTTGTTCGAAAATTATTGTAATACAATGGTATTTATTACATTACCTGTAACGTTGCGTTTCAAATGCAGGCACAACAATGGCAATCTTTGATGTTTGAGAAACGTTAAATTTTTGTATATATTTTATTAATGTTTCAAATAATCCAATATGGGGAATAAAGTCAATATCCATCTGAAAAGTATATGGTGTTGAAATGTAAGACATTGCTACATTTCGTAAGTGGTTCACAGGATAAAATTCCTAAAATAAATTATTTAGTTACTTTTATGAGAACATTGACTACATAGTTAATATAATAAGCAGTTGAACATACTCCATGTTTATAAACAATATGATAGGCGATATTTCTTCTTGTCCGTAAACTTTCAGAACTTTGCACGAATCTAAGAAATGATTGAACTTCATTATCTGTTAAGTACAGTGCTACACTTATTGAACCTGCCCAATTTTTTGCTATTTCTTCCAAAAATGTAATCCTACTGGCACTACACTGAGTGGCCAAAACAATATCAAAAGGAGAGAAGAAGTTGTATTCATATTCCATAAGAAAAAGATGAGTTCGATAAGTTAAATTCGCACCTTTTCTAAATTCATGGCACAAATTCGTTCTTGATCTCTAAAAGAAAATTAGTTTTTAATAATAATAATAATAATAATAATTTAAAAATTATTTAGTATAATATTTTCATACAATCGAATTATATTGACGTTATGTGCATTACTTGTTTCCAGTGGGCACAAAGGACGTCTTTTTTCATAAAAGAACTATATTATCCGATAATTAACCCCATAAGATACTAATTATCCAGAAGATTAATTTGTTTGTGTGAATCTTGCAACCGATAGTTAGAAATTATTTATTTAACTAAAATTCGTCAGATATAGAATTTATTCGAAACTCGTCTAATACATTTAAATAGAATTTGCATGACAATATACATACAAAAAAATATATTCAAAGCACTTATTCTTTTATGAATAAAAGTCATTCCCAAAAAGACATGTTGAATATTTGCATAATATAAACATCTCTTGCTAAAGGAATAGGAAAGGTCACTTTTAAAAAAGATTTAATCTTGTGCTAGACAAATTGGAAAAGGCAAGAATGAAATTAATTGAAAAAACAACAAAAAATCGATTTGACGATAATCTTATAGGTGCTTTAAAGCAGCATTAGAAAAGCTTTTAAAACATTATTATAAGAGTTATTGGGTTTGTTGTGTGATTTTAATTTTGGAACCTCTGCATAAATTAGAGACCGTCGGCGACCAAAAGGATTTACGCATGACTTCCCTTGCCCCTTGCGTAAGCCCTTTTGGTCGCCTGCGATTCAATTCTTATACGTCGTCATTGTTATAGATAAAAATTAAATAAATAGAAATTGTTTTTGTTGTTGCTTCATCATATTAATACTTTTCTATGTAACGAGAACTTGTTTGACATATTTCTCGTATCGTATCTCTCGAATCTCTGGTAAAAATTTTGGACTAATTCCGGATTAAATACGGACAGATTAGTACGGATTAGTCCGAAAATTGTACAAAAAATGTCCGAAAATGATCCGCGCTAGTCTGATATCAATCCGAACGAAAACCTGAATCCGAAAACACTCCGGAGTAATCCTGAATGTCTACGAATTCAGTCCGTAATTAGTCCGCAACAATCCGAATTTATGACCGGTGAAGAATTCTTCTAAAATAAGTACGGAATTATCCGATATCAATATGTGAAGATTACGGAATCAGTCCGCAACAATCCGAGTTTAATCTAGTTAAAAAAACTTAATCCGAAAAATGTCCGGAGCAATCCGAACTCTGTAAGCAAGAAATCCGGTATTAGTCCGCAACAATTTGAAATTAAGTGTGGCAAAATCCTATTCCGAAAGAAGTACGAAACAATCCGAAATCTGTATGCTAAGAATCCGAAAATTGTCTGCAACAATCCGGATTTAATCCAACTAAAAGGTATAATCCGAAATCTGTACACAAAGAATCCGACATTAGTCCGCTTCAATTCGGAATTAGTGTGGTAAAATCATATTCCAAAACAAATACGAAACAATCCGAAATATGTATGTTAAGAATCCGGTAACAGACGACCAACCGAATCATATTATATCCCTGGTAAAAATTTCGGACTAATCCGGATTAAATCCGGGTATATTAGTGTGGATTAGCCCGATAATTGTTCGAGAATAATCCGCGTTAATCTAACATCAATCCGAGTGAAATTGTGAATCCTAAATCAATATGTAAATAATACGAAATCAGTCCGCAATAATCCGAATTTAATCCAGTTAAAAGATTTAATCCGAAACAAGTATGGAACAATCCAAAATCTGTATGCAAAGAATCCGGTAATAGTCAGCGTCAATCCGAATAATATCTGATCAAAACACCACAGTCCGAAAATAAGTCTTATTATTATAAGAACTAGCAGAGCTACGCGCGCTAAAGCGCGCGCGATATTTCTGTTTCTGTCTTTTGATACTCAAGACCTTATTTTATTGTCTGTATATAAAAATGTAAGACCTTATGATCCGTTTTCTTCTTTTTCTAAAATATTGGAAAAAGATTACAATTTTTTTTTGAAGAATTAAAAAACATAAAACACGAAAACCAAAAATTAAATTTAACACACTGAGCTATATTGTAAAATGTTTATAAAACTTTAAGGTAATTACAGATTTTTTCAAGATAATAGAAAGGTTTTTTCGCAAATAGAATTAACATTACCAATTTGTTGAAATTTGTACTACTGTTAGATAAAAGTTTTTAAAAAATGTAGTTAAATTTTTTAGACCTGTGGGGACTTGTGAAAAAAGTTATAAGCGTCTTTGTTTTTAACTTTTAACATTGAGTTTTGTGGGAATTGAGTACATTTTCAAACATATTTACTCACCACAAAGTACTTAAAATTAAGAAATTATTAAAACATTTTTTAATACGAGACAGATATATAATGGTTAAATATCTGTTTAAAAAGTGTCATTAGGTACCTGTGAGAGTTGCAATAAATTAATTTGTAAAAAAATTTCATGTTTTATACAGTATATTGGACAGCTGTTTGAACATCTGGAAACATTGCACACAATTTTCTACTCAAAACTAAATGTAAACAAGTCATACCAAGCATTTGCAACACGACTAAAGAAATGCTGTGTTGCCAGACGTTTCAAAGTACCAAGCAAGTCAAATTACAAAATAATGGTTTTTGTTTTGATTAGTTCAGTCAAGCGATAGAAAAACTTTATATATATATGGGTGATTCTCCTGAAAGTGGTCAATTTCATGTCTTTGAATTATATCTTCTAAACAACTTAACATTTAAATATTAACATTGGACAAACATATTATTTAAACATCACTTATTATACCCTTTATAAAAAACGATAATTTTTTAACACAAATTTAGTGGAAAAGAACATTTAACAGCTGGAAAACAGCAATTCAATATGTCCTTACCTCTGAGTACCAAACTTTAAAGTACTATTACTTATAAAAAAAGAAGTATCTTTAATTATTCAATAAATATTATGAAAGATTAACTCAAAAGCTTCAATTTTTATCGATGAAATTTTTTAATACATCAATATAGTTATTGATAATTATTAAAATATAAGTGTCTTTAAAAATCTCCATGCTGGCACGACAAAGGATAAACGTGTATAAATAAACTATAAGACGTGCACTTTTTATATAAAAATCAATTGGAAATTAAAGAAAAAACATGTCACTTTTCAAATATCCAAGAGAAATTGGAAAATAAATTATATTTTTCATATTTTTAAGAAAAAACACTAGAAAAACACTGCGTATTTTTATTCATTCCTTTGTCGTGCGCTGTCATAACTTTAATATTTCAATATAAATATCAATAAAAACGGATGAAAACTTACAGTTTGGTAGGACAAAAGTGTATACCTAGCCATTTTTTTTATTTATTTTTGTTTAAAATATGTATTAATAGATTTCGTACAAATTTCCATTGTCGTGGAGTCCTTTGTCGTGTCAAAACATTTGTACGTGGTAGGTGCGAAACAAGTAAAAAGTGTGCCCGTGCCTAAAACTTTTTTAAAAATAGATAATAAAGTTGAAATTTTTCTAATCTTTTCATATATTTTTAAATATAATTTTAAAAATGATAAAAATAAATCATTTAATTCAATTAATAATACCTATATAGAAGAAATATGAATTTCAGTGCCCGTCGATGATACGCCTCTGATGAGGTTAGTTTTCCTGTTTACTTTTCACATCTCATTTTAATTACGTGAAAAGTGCTAATTACACGAAAACTAATGTTTATTAATAAATGTAATTTAAAATAAATATAGTTGATATGGATTGTCTAACATAAAAGAATAATTAAACAAACAGAAAAAAACAAATGTCGAAAAAGAGTGACGTGAAAAAATTCAATAAATAATCCTGATGAAATTTAAATAATTTAAATATTTTTAAACTTAAATAGTTTTGTAGCGTACCTACTTCAAATATAGTTTATTTAAATACCAATGAATAGTAATTAATAAAAGAAAGTTCAAAGGGCCTAGCGGAGTAAGCATGCAAAATCTGCCCCCGCTCAAAAAAATTTGAAATTCTTGTTACATGTTGGCAACATTAAGATAAAATTTTTCACCAAATATTTTTTCAAAAAATGTATTTTTGTAAGAGTTATGGAGGGGGAAAGAAAAATCAAAAATTTGTTTTTTCTCGAAAACCACTGGATCGATTTTAATGAAATTTATATGTGTTTTATAAATTCATAAGAGGAATTTAAAAAAAAAAATTTCAAAAAATTTTGCCCAAAAAAAACCAAAAAAAAACCCAAGAAACATTTTTTTTAATTTTCAAAAAAAAATTTTTTGGTCTTATTTTAGAGATACTACTTTGGAATTTTTACAGAAAATTCTCCTAAATGTGTACATTTAAGAAATATTTTTGTCGATTTTTTTAATTGGGTACCACATAGTTAAAAAAATTAAAATCCTAGGTGGCGCATCATTCCGGCTGAAGCACAATGTACCAAGTCATTTTGAATTTCGAAAATTTAATATTACATTCGTACTGAGTGACCCCAGAAACGCATAATTACTAAATTTCAAGGAAATTTAAAAATAATCAGTTACTTGATACATTGTGCTTCAGCCGGAATGATGCGCCACCTAGGATTTTAATTTTTTTAACTATGTGGTACCCAATTAAAAAAATCGACAAAAATATTTCTTAAAAGTACACATTTAGGAGAATTTTCTGTAAAAATTCCAAAGTAGTATCTCTAAAATAAGACCAAAAATTTTTGTTTTGAAAATTAAAAAATTTTTTTTGGGTTTTTTTTTTGGTTTTTTTCGGGCAAAATTTTTTGAAATTTTTTTTTTAAATTCTTCTTATAAATTTATTAAACACATATAAATTTCATTAAAATCGATCCAGTGGTTTTCGAGAAAAAACAAATTTTTGATTTTTCTTTCCCCCTCCATAACTCTTACAAAAATACATTTTTTGAAAAAATATTTGGTGAAAAATTTTATCTTAATGTTGCCAACATGTAACAAGAATTTCAAATTTTTTTGAGCGGGGGCAGATTTTGCATGCTTACTCCGCTAGGCCCTTT